TTGGCGTCTGTCCTCATGATGTTTCCTGGTCCCTTTTCACCATGCATAAAAAAGGCGTTCGCTTAATCCCCTCCAAACGACATATGGACGCACTTTCCATCATTCAGAGTAAGGTGCCAGTCCAACGACCGCTGCCAAGCAGTGGTCGTTGGACTGGATCGATTGCCTTGATGCTGAAATCTCCAGATGCTTATAAAAATGCTCTTCCAAAGTTGATGTACCATTAGAATCACTGTCACATCCTGGAAGAACTGGAAGCCAACCCGACAATTTTGGAGCCCCCGCCTTAGAGGGTAAGGAATTTGTCTGCAGACTGAGAAAAAGCAAACCGATGCGTGATGCTTCACAGCTGCTCAGGAAGGCTGTTCCAGATGCGAGCATAATAAGCTAGAAATAGGTAGTGGCGTAGGTTTGCACGAGCTGGGGGACACACTAAGACGTTGCAGGGGTTACGTAGCGAGGTTGTGAGTTCATGCTTGGTCTAGCCTCTGCTATAAAGGCGTTCTTATATGGCAGACGGTGAAAGAGAGCCAGATTCAATTTTAGTCGTCATAGTGGCTCGAGGCCTAGGATTTTACAGCGGGAGCGGTAAGAGAGGAGGTTTGACCGAGGAAAGAGCTTTTTCGTAAAGGACCGTTGTACAATTCCAGTTGCGAGTCTGCAACTTTGGGTGTAAAGGGAGGAGAATGTGGGACAAAATTCCACGATTGGTCGTGCGCATAGCTCAAAGATTGCAACCATTGTGTCTGGAAGGTGGCAGGAGCGTAGTATTAAAGAACTGAGCCTGTGCGCTCGGGCAACTTGAAATCGAACCTGGTGGGAAGAGCTAAAAGTACAGGAGTATCTGAGGCCCAGATCTTTGATCTCCGTGGAACAGGTGATAGGATTTCCATTAACTGTGAAAGCGTCAGCCAGGAGAGAGCAGAGGCAGGAAGTTCTACGGGATTTTGTGGAGGAGAAGCTTGGGCCAGATTCGTTTGACCAGAGAGTTAGTGAATCTGAGTCTTGTTACTACGGCCTTACTGCTATACTGTCTTACTACTACTGCCTCTTGTCTACGTACTCGACCTGCAGGATGTTCCCTCAAGTCTCCGTTCACTTTTTGGACAATTTTAAACCCCGCTGTTTAGATGCCAGCGCCCTCAGAGTGAATGTTGACGCTAGAAAACCAATAGTCGTCGGACTGACTTTTTTCGGTTACTCAGCTCTTGTACGTTCTGTTCTTTACTGTGATTTATTCGTCTGTTGCGTTTCTTAATCAGGCTGATTTGTGTACTGATTCTTGTGTAGCTGAAGTTTCAGCGATTCTGCGCTCTCTTGTCTCCAACAGTCAGTGGATTGGACCAGTTTTAAACTTCTCATCAGTGGCATATTTTGTAGAGTATCTTGCTTTCATAAATTCACTCATTTCATGTGTTACTGCCTATGCTAGTGGACGAATGACATCTTGGCACTACGCCCGGCAATCCGCAATAGTCCTTCGTGCGACGCCACGGCAATCAGCGTTTATCGTTCCTTTCCGCACGACGTGGCGTAAGCCTGCTTTTTACAATGTCGCTTTGCTTTCTTGATACTCGTTCTCCCAGTTGTTACCCCTTTGCCTAAGGTCTGTTCGTTTTCTTGTTAACAACGTCACAAATGATCTGTCCGTTAGTGCTCGCTCGCAGTTTTGTGTCAATTCTACCTATTTTTGAGCCTTCATCCCGACAAAACGTCAGGCTACTCTTGGGTCGCAATATGAATCTCCCGAATAGGGACACAAGAGCGGTATTCGCTGCCCTAAACCGACCTTTTCCGAAATATAATTTAACTATTATTACTGGTACTTTGTCAAGCTGCCGGTTAAATGATGTGGGAATCTTTATTTCGCGGAAATTCACTCGATGTTTTCAAGGACGATTTTTATTTGCTCATGGACGTAATGAGTGTCTTCCACTCCATTATACCTGCAGGCAGCATGCCCACGCCGTCTGACCGCCAGTATGTAAATTGATGCTTGCTTGCTATTGCTTCCTGAAATCGTTGCTTTTACCGCACATTTTTTGTTCCTACCGATTCCACTATCGTTGAGCATATGTTCTTCTTCATTCGTGATTATTATGTAAGAGAGTCCACCGCTCTCGTTCGTCTGTTCCCGCTTTCCACTGAATACCAATTTCGCAGATAGATAGTTTTGTTCGTTCTATAAGCTTCTCGGCCGCTCCTATTTTACACTCAGACACACAAATACAAGGGAGGATTGATCATACTACAAACGGAAGGATGTGTTTATGAAATCGGGTGGAGAACCTCCGTCCCGTTTGCCCCTTATCCTCTCTACTTGCCGGAGAATTATACTTGTTCCATATTGAAAGTCTGGAAGAAAAGCAAAAGCCTAAATTGTTGTGAATTGGACCGCGGAATGTTACGTTTTCACGGCAATGGTCGAATCCCCAAAAGTATTGGAGCCCTCAACCTGACATC